AGACACCATGTATCCATTTCAGAGACAAGGCAGTCTGGTGCAAAATAGAAGTTCTGCCCAGCATGAGAAGAGATACGGATTTAAAACGGAAGAGCAGCAAAGAGAAGAGAAACAACCATGGATTACAGTAAGGCACACATTACAGTATTGTTTTATGTTAAAAAATCTGAGGGTTTAATGTCACTTTAAGGTTCCTCTGTGGGACATGAACTTTATCTGAAGTGCTCTTAATGTCTCGACAATTTGAACCCTAAGTAAAGATGTTTATTTTCTGTTTAGCCAAACCCTCTTTTAATAAGGCGTCATGGTTTGGAAGCTAGAAGCCTTCAGTTTCAGAAAATCCTACATTGTTCTCCACAAAAGAAAAGTGATTTTGGGGTCTCTACCATTTCACAGCTCTGAGAAGATTGTACTGCTTACTGTTTGCATCCCTACCTTCATTATCAGGGTTTACACGCGCTCTAATTTTGTACCTGATATTTTCCTCGTCTTCATGTCCCAGAGGCGGCACCGTTACTACCCTTCAGTCATTTTTTTTATGTATACAGTATTTGCTGTTTCTGCATAAAATAAAACGGCCCTGTTTGGTCTTGCAAACTGCATATATTGGTTGACATCTGTAAGTGGGCAGAGATATCTTTCAGCTGGGCTGCCTCAAGGACATAAAGAAAACGCATGACTGGGATAGTTCAAAATAGTTTTTTCTTTTCTGGAACTGGGAATTCCTCAAAAGTCATGAGACCATGAAAACTGTTTACAGTGTTTATTTATATTTATAAATGAACTTTATTGTTTCGAATAAGAGCTTGCCTTGTTATCAGACAAACATTGTTAAGATATGAGATTCCTAGATTATCTTTCAGGCAAGAGCAAAGAAATAAAGTGTTCTTGAATAATGGATTGTTATCTAAATACACAACAACATTCTATTACAAGCAATATATATAAAAAAAATTAAAAAGCGATGCTATGTCCTTTGGCGTCCTATACACTGTGTAAAGGACGAGATCAATCACTGTCCCTTAGACTGCTGCAGCGGAGGATGGAAAGGATTGGTCTAAGAGCTGGCTCCGAGGATCGGATGAGTATTCATTTTTTGTTTAACCTAGACAAAAACGAGCAGTTAACCTTTGCAGTGTAGGGGTAGCCACATTTATGCCCGGAGTTCTGCTTTTAGTATATCTCAATACATGGTTTACATGGTCAATACATGCTTTTCCTGACATGAAACAAGTGAAGGAATAAATGTTATCCACAAACATTGAGTACCTCCAACCTATACCTAATAGTTGATTTCATTCTTAAACCCTGACACCTAACCCAACACTTAATATTATGAATGTATATAAAGCCAAAACTTTACATACAAGTGACAACTAAGAAAGGATATGTTTTCTTGCCTTGGAGAGATCTTCTCTTACTTCCTAGTGTCTGGGACATGAAGTACAGTAAAATCACCACAATGGGACAGACATTGAAGAAACAGAACAAAAAAAAATCTACATGGACCTTTACCTACTCTATCCTAAAAGAAAATGCTTTAACTTTACGTACACTTTAACCTACACTTTCGCCTAAGCATAACCTAGCCTTAGGACCCATTCACACCACATGCAGATTGCAGAGGGAACATTTTGTATACCGGTATATTAATTATCACAAAATATAGGCACTTAGAGGTTTATAGAAATGATTGGGGATAGCGCAGTGTCTTTTTTGTTTAATATATTATTCTGAAATTGTTCAACAATTTTTAGACGCAGCTTTTCACAGATTGGTGAACCTCTGCCCATCTTGACTTCTGAGACACACTAAAGGTGGCCATACACCTTACGATTATCGGACAAAACTTTTCGTCCGATGATCGAACCGTTGTACGATTTTGGTACTACGGCCCCATCCTGCCCCGACTATCGCAAGGTTCAATCAGCGGTATTTAAAAAAAACACCTGGGCAACTAACGGTAATTGACCGCAATTATTTTAGTATGCGCAGTGTTAATCGTACGACTTTTGACGGACGGAAACGCCACCAAAAACGCCAAAGTTTTCAAACATGCTTGACCGTCAAAAGTCGTACGATTGTACAGTACTATCGGTCGGGCACTCTATTCACACGTTACGATTGTCGTACAAAAAGTCGATCGCATACGATTATCGTACGATAATCGTAAGGTGCATGGGCACCTTAACTCTCTAAGATGCTCTTTTTATACCCAATCATGTTTATTATTGACCTGTTGCCAATTAACCTAATTAGCTGCAAAATGATCTTCCCGCTCTTTTTTGTTAGTACCACTTACTTTGCCAGCTTTTTGCTGCCCTGTCACAACTTTTTTGAGACATGTTTCTGCCATATGTTTCAAAATTACCTTATTTTTTTCTTAAAATTGTACATTTTCTTAGTTTACACATTTGATATGTTTTCTATTGTGAATAAAATATAAGTTTATGAGATTTGCAAATCATTGCACTCCTATTTATGTAGATTTTACACAGCATTTCCAACTTTTTTGGAATTTGTATAAGCAACAAGTCTGTATTTAAGGCTGACATTTTAATGTCTGTGTTAAATGCTGAAATATTAAAGGGGGTTTGATTTTATGCCACAAAAGTATTTTTGCATTATTACTAATTTAAGAAAGGATTGAAAACCTTTACAGGTTACATAGGAAACTTCTTTTAATGATTCTCTTTTGAGATCAATTTAGAGGGAGTTTTCATTGTCCAAGATGTTTGCCAGACAAGCATTAAAGTTAACATGACTGTGTTTGGTGATTTCAAAGATGGCAGGCAGATCTTAGATTTGGATACCCTCTCAAAATGTATTAGCATATTGATTTTCTGTAATGGAAAATGTGGTCCCATTGGCATTATAATGTAATCTATTTATTGGCCCTTGCATAATCCAGAGATTTAGCTTAGGATCAGAAAGCCTGAGTTGTCCCTGTATCTGCCAGCCTGAATGCTCAATATGTAGCTGACACGGTAGTTCCCTCTGCACATTACTGAAATATCTATATACATAGATTGTGCTTTGGATTGAAATTGTGTATGTTTTAAATCATTTATTTCTGTGTTGTTAAAAAAAAGTTATAAGAACTACTGCGCTTGGCTGACAGCGCACTATTGAAGTTCACATGTTGTTATGTGGAGGATGGAGCATGTCTCAATTGTTCCTGACGTGCAGGACTCCTGCAAAAACTAGTTTCCCCGCAGAGCTTGCACACATTTCAAACAAATGTCTTTCCACTTTCAAGGAGCAATCAGACTGACTTGTTCATGACGAATTCCTCTGTTAGACACGAATACCCTGTGGAGATAGTCTGTGTGTTGCATATTGACTGACAAATTCATATTTGGTGTACTAAGTGGCACTGCAAGTCTTTTTTAAGACTGAACTATTTGCTTTAACTTGACTTTTGTTATGCTCCTTCTCCAGAAAGATTGGGAGTCTAGGACAATAAAGTGCAGGAGGAGTTTAGGTTTTTGGAGCACTGGCTGATTTCTTCTCCGTAGTCAGGTTCTTTTTTTATGAACAGGCTATAGTGTAATGTGTAGGGAGGAGTTGTGCAGAGGGAAAAATGGTTGAAAGCTAGGGGGTACTTTAATAAGCGTATTCTAAGGCTTTATTCACACCTACATAGTAGGTGCGTTTTGAGATTTCTGCTTCAGGAATCCCAAATATGCCATTTAGAAGCAGCAACTGTCACCAATTCAACTTTCATGATCGGGTGACAACGGCAGCAGATGAAAGTGGCACTCCGCATTTATTCATTTTTTTTGTATACAATTACATACAGTAATTACATCCAGAAAAAATACATTTTATTTGCATATCTATTATTTTACCTTTTTCTTATGATCATGTTGCTGTATAGAAATAATAAAACTTTTCACTTTAATACAAAATGAACGTTTAGGCCCTTTTGATGATCTAACCTTTTGGCACCTTTAGACCCCTGTAAGATGACATCACCACGCCCTTCTTCCCCGTGCACAAATGATTACTTTCTGAGCTCCAATGGGCCTGTCCACCACTGATTGCTTACATTCTGCAGCAAACATCTTCTTCTCCTGGACTCACCTAAGCAGTATATCTCCATGGGAGTCAATAGGGATGTACTGTGCAAGCTTGGCCAGCAGAAGAAGACGTCTGCATGAGATAAGATGCACTCTCTATATCCCCCTTCTTCCTTTTCTTTCCTCCTTTTTTTCTTTTAACTATATTATTGTTAAATTATTGTTTAAACTAATTAGGTATATGTTTTGTGATGATTTAATTGCTTTTCAACTATTGTTATAGTTGATCCATATCCTTGTACCCACACCAAAACCTGAATAAAAAGTAAATGATCAAGAAAATGGTAAGTATTCATCTTTACGCAGGGAGGGAGAGAGTGGTGATGTCACCTTAAAGGGGCCTAAAGGATAAGTGCATTTTGTTTTAAAGTGCACTTTAATGTTGATTACATGAAAGTGTATTGTTGTTAATGATCATCCTTTAATGATCTGCTTTTGATAATAATAGACAAATACTATAATATAGCATCTATAACAGAAATGTATCTTGATGAAAGTATTTACCAAATATTAAAATTTTACTTTTGGTTTTAGAAAAGGCAAATATGGGTAGAGGTTTTCCAATTTCTGACACTATATTTAAAGCATTATGGGTTTTCTAAAGAAATGGCAAAGCAGAGGCTGCTTTCACATTCTTTGTCTGTAATTGAAACGTCAGGCTGCCCCCTGTGCACACAGTAGGGGGTGAAAAAGGAGGGAAAAGGGATGAGACTCGCCTCTGTACAGATACAGATGTAGATGATTTATACTTTGTCTAGCCACCGACAATGGATTCCCAGTTACAGTTGCTTGTTTTTTTATGTTGCCTGTAAATGTTCCTAATACAGCTGCCTAGCATGCATCTGGCCTGCTGTCAATTTCATTACTTCTGCATTGAAATATTTGCTGAGAATGTTTGTTTGTTTTTCAGCTTGTGACCCATAGATTACAAATCTAAAAAAATGGATCAGCAAGATGAGAAAGAGACTCCGAGCAATAATGCTTTCCAATACAGAATGGGTCTTAATGACAACAAGGCGGGGATGGAGGGGCTGGATAAGCAGAAAATCAACAAGATCATCATGGATGCTACAAAAGTGAGTTAACATTTGTCATTTTTTTAAATTTAAGTTAACATGTAACCATGAAGAAAGAGCCTTTTTCTGTGTTATTTTGTGTTACTTTTATGGATCAGAGCCATATAATAAAGATTAACCAAATGCAGCTATGTGGAAAATCGCCTACCCTAGGTTCACACCTTTGCACCTGCATTTTGCTGCCTTTTTTTAGTTCTGGTATGAATGGGGACTTAATGTAAACCTTTGGCTAAAATTTATACAAGAAAATTCTAAAGGCCAAACACATCCGGATTACTGCAATCTCTATTTTGTTTTAATTTATAGAGTGATCCAGAGTCCTGAATACCAGGGTGGCGGTGCACATTTGGCAAGGGAGGGAGAGAGAAGGTTGGCAATGTAGTGGTGCACGCTAACGGAGGTTGGTGACCTCTGCATCATCCGGCTCTGGCTAGGATCCCGCCCAACTCACTGAGGTCACTGGTTTAGCATGAGCTGGGTGGGACGACGGCCAGAGCGCCCCACTTAGCTCCTGGCAACCAGTGATATCCCAGGTTGCTAAGAGCTGGGTGGGTGTATGGTCTTTACTAATTTCTCCGCTGCCCCAACACACCCGGCACTTTGCAACCTGCGACAATTGACATGCCGCTCTGCCTGCTGCACCCCCACGTGACCCAAAGAGACCTCAGGCTGCCTCATGCTGAATTGGCTCCTGTCTAAGTTGGCCCTGTATGTATGCATGCGTGATTAGGGACATTAGATTGTAAGCTCCTCGAGGGCAGGGACTGATTTGAATGTGCGCTATGTAAAGCATTGCATAAAAATTTTCGGTGCTACATAAATACCTATAATAAATAAATAAATAAGGATGGCCATGCAGATCGAGTTCACTATCAAAAAAATTCCCTCCCCACCCCCCTTGCATTCCAGACAGAAATTGAGCAGATAACAACTTTTCTTATAGATTTGAGCATTGTTTTTTGCAAGCAGCAAATTATTTATTTTTATGCCATGTGGATGAGAAACACGTAACAAATATAAAAATGGGTTTTATCCCAATTTGGCTGCAAAAGTGGAAACACACTTTGAAGTATAAGTTCACTTTTAACACATCTTACAACTTTAAATATTTACTAGCCAACTCAAGTATGTTTGTAAATGTAACTTTTTATCATTTTCTTTTCTTTGTTCTGTGTCAACACTACTGTAAACCTCAACAATTCTGCCAGTTCAGATTCCTTACTGTTAGAGGTAATGACTGTTAGAGGTAATTAATTCCAGTTGTGTATACAAGGGTCTTCTTTCAGCACATTCAAAAGCTGAAATAGCTGAACTTGTGAAAAGAATGCCATTTGCTAATTGGAAAAATAACTGCATAGTGTTAATCTGCAAAATCTAATATTTACCTGACTTGCATAAAAAGGAAAAACATTTTTTTTTTAACGTCACTAGCTCTGGAAGGACGTAATAGTGATGTAGTGGTGGATTGGAAAGCGGGAGAACCACAGTGGGAAAAAGGCTGACATTTGACACACCCAGAAGTGTCAGATTCTGAGAATTGTAACAGTGGCTCTAGTGTTGCAAGAGAGTGAAGATCGGCTTCAGGGGAAGCAGTACTGATATTATTACTGTACTTTTCCTATACTTTATATTTATTTACGTATTTTTTAAAAGGCATGTCCTTTTAAGATGGTCATTTTTATTGCCTTTTATAATACCATGCAATGAGATAAATCTCTTACCTGCCAGGACACTATCTGCAAGGAGTTTGCATGTTCTCCCTGTTCTTGCGTGGGTTTCCTCCGGGTACTCTAGTTTCCCCCCACGCTCCAAAGACATGCTGGCTTGTCTAACTTGCCCTGTATGTGTGTGTGATAGACACCTTTGACTGTAAGCTCCTTGAGGGCAGGAACTGATGTGAATATGCAGTATGTAAAGTGCTGCGTACATTGTTGGCACTATATAAATACCTGTAATAAATAAGATAAGAAGTTAACATTTTCAGAAAATATGTTTTGGTTAAGTTGCTGGATTAAGTATTAGTAGTTTTCTTACAGTACTGTGTTGGTTGTTGAAGGATTTGAAGGTGGCCAGTGAGATTTGTAGTCTTTCTCCCAGTTATCTATGAATAAGGTACAAAGTCATATTTGTCTTGCAGGGCTCCAGATTTTATGAAAATGAGCTCAAGAAAGACCAGCAAGTTAATCGGCGCATCGAGAAGATGCTTCAACAAAAAGCTTTGCTGACCAGTTCACAAATCAGTGAAGCTCATATTCAGGTACTCATTATTTTTGTTTTTTGTTCTGCTTCTATACAATTTTAGGAACTTAGTAAAGGTAATATCTTATATAAATAAAAGTTGCTAATTGTTACTGTTCAGTATTTGAAGAAAATCTAAACATCTCTGAAAAAATTTCTCAGTGTTAACCACTTCAAGACCAGGTGTTTAGACCCCCTTCCTGGCCAGACCATTTTTCAGTATTCAGCGCTGAGGTACTTTGACTGAAGTTTATTCCGCCATGCAACGCTGTACTTAAATGAATTTTATACCATTTTTGTACAATATGTTAGGAAACATTTTTTATTACCCAGTTTTTTGGTAAAATATAAAAGATCGGGTCACGTCGGGTAAATAGACACCAAACATGTCAAGCTTTAAAATTGCGCGCACCTGCGAAATCACAGAAAACTACCATACCCAAAATTGGCCATAGGCGACACTTTAAAAGCTTTTCCCGCTCATCAGTTTAGTGTTATCAGTGATTGATGACCCTAGACTTATTGCGCTCACTGCGACGTTCGTGGCGATATGTAACATGTGCGGCTTTTTTGCACATATGCGCCCCCAACGCATGTTTGCATGCGTGTATGTATGGGTGGGGACTTTAAAAAATGTTTTTGTTTTTTTATTCTTTTTTTATGTGTAACTTTAAAAAAAATTGGGGGGGGGGGACTTACATTTTTGTTTTTTTTCACTAAACTTTATTGCTATCACATACGGGGCTAATAAAAACCTCCTATGTGATAGCAAAATATGTGACAAGTCCTCTTTATGGAGACATCAGGGGTCTTCAAGACCCCTAATGTCACCTAGGACCCCCCAAAAGAAGCTGATGAAGCAGAGATCTGCTCCATCAGCTTCTTTCCAGCTTCTGAAGCTGGAGAGTGACACAAGAAAGCGGAAGTGATGTATTATACAACACTTCCGCATTCTTGCAGAGGAGAGGGGACCGGGGGGGAGCTTGTGTACCGAGCTCCCTCTGATCCCCTGTGACACAGGCGACCTGCTGATCCCGTGCTCGCACCAGGCACAGTGGAGCCCGGGATCAGCGGGACAACGGGGGGCGGGGGGGAACTGATCGGCACCCCATACATGCGATCGCTTGTATGGTAACAGGCATCGATGCCTGTTTTTAAATTTTGGCCATTTCCCGAGCGGCGCGCGCGAGGGGGCGTGTCTGAGCGGACGTCTAAAGACGCCCGCTCAGATCTAGAGAGCAGTTAAAGAGCTTTACACTTTACCAGTGAAATCAGAAAATCCTTTTAAACACACCTTGGTGTTTTTTCGTAGCTTAGGGTGGCCTCAGACAAAAGATCTCTCCCTGAGAATGCTGCTAGGGAATTCTTGGAACTTGATTAGAGACCATATAAAAAGGGGAAGGATTAGAAAAAAGGAATAGTTGGAAACTGAATAATGATAGTACCTTGTTCCTGCAAGACTGGCAAGTCCTCATTTGTGAAAACATTTTAAAGTTGGTTAGAGGGCAACTGAGGAATATGTACCATATTTGGTGGATATGCCCCAATATAGTAGATTTTGTATTTGGTTATAGGGATGCACCGATACCTGCTCCTGTAATCAATGGGAGTTAAAAATGGCCCTGCATCTGTGGTCTGCGGGAGTAAACAAAATGCTCTTGCATCTCTGTTCAGTGGCAGTAAAAAACGTCCTTGCACCTGTGGTCAGTGTGATTTTAAAAATGCCCCTGCCTTGGTGGCCAGTGGCAGTAAAAAATGTCCTATTTGCGATCAGTGGCAGTAAAGATTGCCCTTTCATCTGTGGTCAATGTGATTAAAAAATGCCCCTGCCTTGGTGGTCAGTGGCAGTAAAAAAAATGTCCTTGCATTTGTGATCAGTGGCAGTAAAGATTGCCCTTGCATCTACAGGCAGTGGCAGTAAAGAAAATGCCTTTTTTTCAGTGTCCGTGAGAGTGAAAAATGCCCTTGCTTCTGTGGTTAGTGGACAAGAACTGAGACTGCAATACATTTATGGTGGGATTGTGTGGTATTTTAAAGATACAAATACACTTAGTGGAGTGGTTGTTTTAATTACATTGTAATGATAAATTTCGAACCCTGCGGAAAAGCATGAAACAGAAATTCAAGGATGTTTTCATCCATTAAGCCCTTCTCTGTTTGCGTGTGTTCTTGGCTTGCACAAAATCCTGAAGGTCAAGGTTAAACAGTGCTTGACTGTGAGCTCTGAGATAGATCTCCTATTGTTCATCAGAGGAGTGCAGAGCCAGTCATAGGTTCTGGTCATGCTTGCATCAAGAGGTTTAGAAGACTTGGAATTCATGAGACAAAGCTGGAATGCACACACTCATTAACACCACAGTGAAGAAACACCCTGTTATCAAAAACAAATCAGGAGTGTCAAACAACCGCCGTGATTTGGGTGCAGGCTGTGTGGTTTGGCTATGAAATGTATTTTGATTATTAGCTTCGTGCCACAGTTTGTGGTTGTTATTATTATTATTATAATATCTATATTTGTCTAAAACGCTTTCCGGATTACTTTTGCTGTGTCTCGTAGTCTGATTTTATTTGACGGTTTACTGAAAATGAACAGATCTTCAGTATCTTCAACTACCATACAAATTCTTTATTATGGTACAATCATGGCACTACCATGATATTAAAGTAACACTAAATTCAGGAGTTAAATGTTAGAAATCCTCAAATCATCTCTGAATTGGTGCTGACACTGTCCTTCCTTCTGGAGGATGACTACTTTTGTTCTGCATGGTCCCTGTGTGGGTTGTAAAGTAGTCACCTCTCCAAGCTAACTCCTGTGATGGACTACAATCTCATGTTTAGTTTGCTAATTTGTATTGAGATTGTAGTCCATCACGGGAGGTAGCTTGGAGCTGTGGCTACTTTACAACACACACAGGGACCTTGGGAAAAAAAAAAGTAGACACCCTCCAAAAGCAAGGACAGTGTCAGCACCAATTTAGAGATGACCTGAGTATCTAAAGCCAAGTGATGCACAAATAAGATACAATTTTGTTTATGGTTAAGATTTGAATGTATTTTTAACCACTTGCCATCCGCCCGTTGTAAAAAAACGGACGGACGGCACTGCTGCATTGGCGGGTTGCCGTCAGCAGACGGCATTTTTTTTCTGCTCGCGCGCGTCCCCTGGCGGGCAAGCACGGGCAGAAGAGACCGGACCAATGCAAACACCCGTTACCGGGTGTTAAACATATAGACGATCTATTATTAATGATGCATTTCTTTAATTTTTGCAAAAGGTGAACTTATCAGTTTTAAATTGAGTTTAGTGTCACTTTAAGCTGAACTCCAGGCAAACAGCAAAAAACATAGTTTAAAAACACTCCTAAGAGCTATTTAGGATTGGTATCTCTATTTATCCAGTCCTGAGCTTTACAACTCTGACACATCGCACAGTCCTGAGTGGCAGAGCCGGAGACCTGATTTTTCTCTTATGCACTTAAGTAATACTTACAGTCCTTGCGGATGAACAGTGAAAAGAGAAGTAGCAAACTGTCAAATTCATCTCTTTGTGACTGAGCTGGTAATGTTCCTTGTTAACTCAGGAGCACTACAGCTCTGTGCTTTGTGTTGCTTCTCCCTCTCTCTGTCTGAGTGCTGCTGTGCAGGTAACTGCAAGACGTTGATACCAGGTCCAATTCAGGTACTTACAATGTTGGAAAACAGTAGGCCCCCCTGCACTCCTTACAGCGTTTCCAGCCCAAGTAACAATGGTGATGCTTGCAGTAACAATCATGGATGGTGCCGTGCACAGCAAACAATAAAGGATAGAAATCACTAGCACTCGGTAGATGAAGTTCAAAAAATAATAACGTCCATTTATTTGGACCAAACGTCACACATATCACAGTATCCAAAATACTGCAATATGTGTGACGTTTGGTCCAAATAAATGGACGTTATTATTTTTTGAACTTAATCTACTGAGTGCTGGTGATTTCTATCCTTTATTGTACTTACAATGTTGACATTCAGTTAAATTGATCTGAAAGTCAAAAGGTTTTTAAGCTCAAATGATGTGTAAATCACCTACAATGGATGTTGCTCCTTGATGTTTCAACAGTTAAGCTTCCTGCACAATCAACTGGTCTCCTTCTTCTTTCTTGGGCAGGTTGATCGAATGGCACTGGAGCTGGAGAGAAGACGTGATTTAAGCCGTGTTATTGTACATGTGGATATGGATGCTTTTTATGCAGCTGTGGAAATGAGAGAAAATCCTGAGCTGAAGGAGAAGCCTATGGCTGTGGGTTCTATGAGCATGCTTGTAAGTAAAGGCAGACATGGAGTATAAAGTAACCATGGGTAGCAGCAACAGGATCACTTCCACTAAAATGATTAGTGCTGTAACTAAAGACAAGGTAGCCTAAAACATGACCGTGATCAATACAGTCAGATTTGAGGGATATCCTGGGCAGAGTGTAGGTCATCTGCTTGTTATACTGAGGTTGAATGAGAAATGATCAGACTGTACACACAACACCTCACATGCTGAATCTGGGACAATTACATTGGCCTTCTTGTCCTTGTTTTGTTCCCCTATTATTCTACATGGTGGACATTTAAATTTCTCCCTATACCACTTTGTGTAATATTTGCTGTCAGACAGCATGAGTTGTTGTTGCGATGAGAGTAGAAAGACAGGACGTTTGGGGGTTGTGTCCTTTTCTGCTATTATTAGCTCAACCAGTACCAGGATATTGGGCCTTAATGGATTATATTTAGTTAATTTACCAATATATCACTTTTATTGTTGAATCTCTGTTTATGAAACAGTTTACAACAAGAAAAGTAACAGCAGTGAGTATTACACCAAGCCCAATAGCCTACCACCATAGAACATGACTCCAGGATTGAATGTAAGCATAAAAGCAGTGTATGCAACATAATGAGAAATAAGCCAACATTTAGAAGCTATAATCTTGAGGTCTAAGGAGATCAATGTAAAATGTTGACTAGTCAACAATAATGTAAGCTTGCTGCAACAGTTTAGGCATAATAACTTCAAACAGTGGGGGAGGGAGAAAAAAAGAGGGGCTGCAAAAAAAGAAAGGGAAAGATGAGGGCTGGGGGCTGAAGTAACACCAGACCTGATGAGTACAGATAATTATGAAAGTTATAGGAGGCAGCAATCAAATCGATCGCTAAGGTGCTGAGAGAGTGTCTCAACTGTCTCCGAAGAGTCAAAGATTCCATAAAATGTATCCACAGGGACCATTGAACCCAGAAGCAGTCCATAGAGGCTGTGTCAGAGGCCAAAGGTTCCTCCATGCGCATGATATCATTAAGCATACTAAGCCAT